CAAATATCAAATACAACAGGCCAACAGCCAGCTAAACAGTTTAATACTATAGTTTCAGCTATACTAGCTATAGCCCAGAAAAATGAGGAATTAAACTCCAGCAACAGACATAAAGACAGCTCTATCAACTATATTCAGCTGTAAGAGAAAATCAAGCATGAGATGTTAACCAGAGAAGTTCATTTTTATCTTCAGTATCATGCAGCTCCTGATTTGCATTAGTCCTCTCAGTGCTTTGTCAGTCATCACACTCCTGATCTATGTATTCAAGCATCATAAACTGCTGAGGGAGGCTCAGCACTAATAGTAGATATGGGCAGAGGTCACTAACAGCAGCTTCTGTGGTCCTCAGCACTCATCGTAATGATGGCACCACTACTTTTTATGGATTCTCAGCAGAGTCTTCAATGCTTTGGATAATTTGCTGTCTACTTTCAAAAGGCAAGAAACTTTCAGCTGCTCCCTTATTTGCAGTGGATCACCATAGTGGATGGATGCACGTGTTTTGATTTGGCACACATTTTTATGCCAGATGTACTTCCTGACAAAGCCCACCCATTCATCTATGCCTGGTGACCAACACTAGGAGTACACTAGCTGGTGACCCCCTGAAACTAACTGGTTTTAGTTTTGAGGCTGCGTTTGTGCCTCCTCCCAGTCTCGAATTACTACACCATGGAGTAAGTCTTTTTTCAAAGTGCTAAAAAAATGAAATACGTTTTTTTCATTTGCTCGTTTCTCAGCTGTTTATCAGCTTGCCAAAGGAGGATGAAGCCAAACATGATTCTCAAACACGTTAATCGGGTATTAAGATCCATATACAGGAGCTTGTGTTGTTAAGATTGCATTTAAATAAATGCACAGTGCATGCAGGATGATTATGGCTGCTGGCACCACTGACCCCCGTGTCCCTTGTAAAATAATATCCATGTAATAAACCCTCATTACTGCCAGAAAGGTATTGATTTAACTCTAGGGTTAATAGTTTTATTAGGGCAATATCTATGGTAGTTACAGCATTCTTCCATCAGATAAATTATGAGAAACGCTTCTTAATTTAATCCACTGTGTCACATGTGGCAACACAGTGGACTGAAAGCATAATATAGAGTAAACACACAGCAGCCTTTTCATGGCATTGCATGATGTTACATGCAGGTCCTTTTGCTCGGCTATTTTTTTCGGAGTAATCTGACACTTGTGCCGTTTGCAGAACACACAAAAAAATCACACAGACTATATCGGCAGGATCGAAAGGCATTAAATGTCCCGCATAATGACACTTTAGCAGGGTGGATGCTATTTCTTCAGCGAGACAACCTCCTCACCGGAGCGTCTGTCAGAGCTCCGATGATAATTGTTGATAAAATAAAAGTTCAGTCCAGGATACGTGTGGCTAAATATTACAGTGCGATAGTCTGTTTTGCTCAGTCGTGTCACATTCTCTTGACCACCCAGGCGACAGAATGTTAGTGGGAGACTTGCACAAACATTTTCAAAAACACACACGCGCGCTGGCACAAAAACTCTTTCAAACTCGTACATTTGGGCGCACACATGCTCATGCAAACAGTCATATACCCACGCCCACAGTCTCATTCTGCCTGTCTCTTGCTCTGCATTTCCTTCGTGCCGAGGGTGGAGAGAGAGAGAGAGAGATGGAGGGATAGGCAGGGGAGATGACTGGCCATGTTGTTTTGCTACAGTCAGAGGAAAGAGTGACAGCATGAGAGGAAAGAGGTGGAGGAGAGGTGGAAAGGTTTTTCGTGTGCCTAACTGTTCCATGAAGCCCACTAACGCTGCAGCTTTCAGTGTTGTAGTTTCAGTGTGCGTGTGTGTTTCCTGTAAAGAGCCACTCTGGTGAAATTGTGACCTAATCACAGCAGAGGAATGTGTTTTATGCCAAAGCTTCAGACGGTACAGATTAAGACAATTAAAGTTACAGGGGGCATGCTGGGGTTGAGCAGGTCGAGGCATGCATGCACCGATTACTAATAAGAGCCAGCCAGGTAGTCAGTCATGTAGCAAGAAAATATGGATCAGAGTGCTGAAGAGGTTTAGGTTGCTTCTCTTCTCACATCCTTGCTTTTTATTTTCATCGCACATGCATTAGTTCAGGGGTTGGCTGCAAAACATATGTGAGCCTTATAATGACTGTGACACAATGATGAACGTACATTAGACTATCAAGATTACTAATAGCCAATGGGTTTCACTTAAAGTGAAAAAGTTTAAAGGGAAAACTTCTGTTTGCACATTTAGGCAATATTAAGCTATTAATTCGGCTAAACTTAGCCTACTTTGATAACAAAAAATAAAGCTTTATTTTGAGCCTAGATTCAGATCAAACAAACCTGTAAGCCAGCAGCATTAAAACCTAGCCTGAAGCCGTACTGATAAATTCTCTATTTTCCTCAACAATTGGATTTGATAACTAGCCACAAACTAGCAGTTTATCTTCATCTGGTGCAAATGAAGTTGTGACTCACTTATGCAAACTTGTCATAGTCACAGGTAGCCACTAAAAATGGTGTCTTGTGAGGTTCTGGAGATATAGATCCATGACCTGTGTTATTACCTCTACTGTTATCAAAATTAGGTGCGCTTTGTGTCATCAGTACAGTCATCTAAACAGTTAAAGTGAATAAAATGTAACTGGTGTAAACGAATCTTATAGAAACATCTTAGACCTTTGTTAAAATTTCTTCCGGTGTGGTTAGAAAACATCTTTGAGATTTCAGAAATTTCCATTAGGTTGGTGTGAGGTGTTGATTATTAGAATAAGTCGCAAATGTAAAAATGTGTGTTTGTGCTTCATCTCGTCTGTTTTACTCTTTTCTTCTCTTGCTGGTGTTTCTGACTTTTCTGTCCACTTACGTATTTTTCCCAGGTCTAATTTTTACTTCTCACAGGGTCTAACTGCCCAATAAAAGAGAAAGTATTTTTAGAAAAAAGCCCTGCAGTTTATCTTATTTTTTTCTTGCTGGAAATACAGGGAGGACTTGGAGAGTAGTGACGACAGTATGAATGAGAGCAGTGCACTCTGTACTAAGCTGCACTGTTGTATCTGATCTATACTTGGCCAGACACCTGTAATCTTCTTTTCCCTGTTAGTGCAGTCACCTGAAACTGCTCCTGACTCATAACTGTAATCATATCTTAGTCTTTTCTTTTGCCTTCCTTTAAACTAGTTTTCTATAGCGTGTATTTCCCTACAGAGACAAAAGGCGAGTCATCCGGGTGCACTTCAGTTCATCCAAAAAGATGTCTTTTTACTAGAATTTATGAATACGACCCGCGCTCTCTACATCACCATTCACTGTTCTTGGCAAGGCTCGAATGACCCCCCTCCACCCAACACTAATATCCCCACTCTCTTTATCTCTGTATTACAGGGTTCGCCTTCCCAGAATGGGCTTACAAGCCCGAGTCAAGCCCTGGTTCCAGACAGATCCAGCTGTGGCACTTCATCCTGGAGCTGCTCAGGAAAGAGGAGTATCATGATGTCATCGCCTGGCAGGGGGACTATGGCGAGTTTGTCATCAAGGATCCAGATGAAGTGGCTCGACTCTGGGGGGCCAGGAAGTGCAAACCCCAAATGAACTACGATAAACTGAGCAGGGCTCTGAGGTATGATGACTGAGAAATATACTGTTACCGTAAACAGTTATTTTCACATAAAGTTGCTAAAACAAAAGGACTGTCAAAACAAGAACCGTACAAATTATCTTTAGTATTCATTGACATATATTAACTAATTTTAGAAAGGCAGAATCTTTTCCTTCTTGCATCTGCAGTGGTGTGTCTGAGGCTTAAAGCACTGAGGGCTACACCTAGGCCCGTGCCAAACAGCTGTTCCAGCTTTGACAAACACAGTGTGCAGTGGAGAGCGCTACAGTAACCCCTCAGCAGCACTGGGTTTAACAACTTTGCTCCAGCCTATCATTCATTCGGGACACAGCCAGCCTGCTTGTAGGGTTAACTTTTCATTCTTGTCAGTTTATAATTTTCTCAATTTAATGTTTTACTTTTAGTAATTTTAATATATTGAAAGAAAAGAAAAAACTAAAAAAGGAGAGGCATGAACTTGTCCAGGTTGCTCCAAGCAAAGAAGGAGAATTTCTGGCCACAGCTTGAACAGCATTTTTCTTAAAGTCTGGTTTATATTTTTATTTTAGTAAACTAAAATGCTTTTGGTTTTTATTTAGTGTGATGTAATGACCTCACAGCGGACACATTAGAATCCTCAGGGGAAATTTGGCATGTGCAGACTTTGTTTTTTTGAGGGTGTATTTGGTGACCTCATTGGCTTTAAATGCCACTGACCTGAGCAAATTTAACTATGAAGGAGTTTCCTGTGGTTGTTGATTATTAATTTCAGTTAACACCAGTGATCCTTTAATGTCAAGTACTGACTTTATCATCTGATTTGTACCTGTGGATTACTTCCAGTGTGGCTTTTTGTGAAGATTTGGGGTGTATTTGAAATTGCCCGTCGAATGATTGGTTGAGTTTATTATGAATAAACTTACTTATTATTTTTGAATTGTGTTTCCTACGTCTTAGGTTAATCAAGTTGGGCTTGTCGGTAAAGGAAATGGCATTAAGACCAAATAACCCTATAAAACAAATCAAATCTGAGCCACAGAGCAGCTGCTTTTCATTGTGTTTATTTGGCTTTTATAAATAGACTTTAGTTTACAGTATTGATGGATAGATGAAAAACCAATAGAAGTTACATGTTAACAACAACTTTCAGCATATTCAGAGCTGAATATTACAGGGATCACATACCCCAAGGGGCTCTTCTCAGCTGCTCGCTGTAAGCACTGTATCTCATTCACTGTGTCTTGTTGTGTACTGCCAAACAGAGCCAAGATTAAGCTAAGCACTTTAAAGAAAGCCACATAGGCCATTAAAGGAGGGAAATGCTTTGAATTGCTTAATTTAGGGCTGGGAAGGCTTATGCACGCTCATTTACACTGCTGAGATTAAGATAACTTCTACAGATGGTATCCTCTGGGGACAGAGGGAATTAACATGGACTTCTTATGTGCGCATACAAACATTCAGACTTGCAATCTGGATTTAGAAATCCTGAATTAGAGAGAAAAAAAGAACGTGGACGGGGATATTTCTGGTCAGGCTCTGTATTTATAGCACGTCCATCCTCTGCTGCTGTAACAGATTTGAAGCTCAAGCTCCACTAAGTGCTTATATATAGTGGGTCTTAGTGCCCTCTGATGGACCAGACTTAGAGCCTGATTATCAACAAGGTCCCCACACAGGAGTTCACTCCTGTTTGGGAAAGTTCACTCCTGTGTCCTCATCCAGCTTCCAGCAGCCAGGTCGTCTCCCTCTAAAGTGAGCTGGCTTATAGCGATAAGGACAGTCAACAAAACAACACGCACACAAACAAACATGCACCTTTGCGTTGTCACCTGATTTGACACCGGAGCTCCTTCAGTGCCCGAAATGAAGCCTCTCAAGACACATTAATAGTAATGTGGCAACAGGATTAGTGGCACTGAAGACTGATGAAGTTATAAAACAGGCATGTGTGCATGGTAACAGTCCCCATATGGAGTAAACTGTTGGAAAACAGGCCACCTCGTGTCCTTCATGTGGAGAAAACCTGGAGTCTGCTAATAATGGAGACCACAGTCGACATGTGGCAGTTAGCCTACACACACATGCACACACATTTAAAAGGCGGGCTTGTTTTGAAGTGTTCGTTTTATCACTTTGGACTGTGTAATTATTATTTTTACCTCAGTGATCTTGTTCTTTCCTGTCTGCCGTGCACATGGTGGAAATTCCCTTAATCAGGACCAATGTATTGTGTGTGGACTTGAGCATATGTGTGTTGGCTTTCCGTTGATGGGACGCAGCCTCGGCCCATGCGTCATCCTGGCCTCCCGCTCCCACGACCACTGTGAAATTCCCACTCCTGTTGAGAGGATTACGCTCACACTGCGCGAGTGTGTGTTTATGTGCGTGGAAATGTGCGTGTAGACGTTAAAGAGGTTAGACTGTCCTGTTTTTTAATTTGATAATGAATCCGTTCTTTTGCACCGAATCAAACCAAAAGAGAAAAACAAATTCAGGCTGTCGCTCTTTTTTTAGATCTTCAGTCTCAACCGTTAAGATCAGTGCTGCCTGACATTTCAGGTGGAGTTAATGAATGAAAGAACGGGCGCAATATATAATCCTCAGCTCCAATTTAATCATGAGAAATAAGTCAATAGGCTGGAGAAATAAAGATTTCCACTGATGAAAAGACCATGACTTAAACCTTCCTCCTAGTCCTTGCACCACTCTTTGCTGTCATGAAGTAACTTAGGGCAAATGAAGCCTTTTGCCAATCATTCATTGCAGAGTTTTTGCTTAATGAGTGCAATCACGCTAAGAGGTCCCAGCTCCTTGAAACCTCCAGGTCCCCTGCCTGCCAGTCAGCAGCCAGCGTTAATGGTCAGAGGTCAGCGGTATTGCCATGCACAGCTGGTAAAGATTACCAACACGGCGCATGTGTGCATTCAGATGCACAAATGCACCATTGTGCAGACTCTCGGCCAAGCATGGATGCTGGAACACATGTTTTAAGCGCTTGCTTCATTGCCAACATTTATTTAATTGTGATGGGACACCACAGCTGAAAGGCTGCCACTGCAGAAGTGTGCATAAATAGAACAACAATTGTTTTATTGTAGGCTTAAAATTACATGAGAACATGCACTTAACATGGGGACCGAACTAGAAAACACGACTTCACATTTGTTATGAGGATTTATTTATAAATGTGTGGAAGTAAGCACTAACTGAGAGGGAGGGAACCAGTGGTTGGCGGATAGAGATTACTGATCTGTGGTTGACGCAATCTTAACTCAGTTGAGGTGGAAGTCCTAGGAATGGCCGAGCTAGGTGTAATTGTCGGAGCAGGGAGGATAATTAATCCAGAGTGGAGTAGTTAAGTGAGGTGGCGACTATGGAGAACACAGTTGGAGCAGGAGTGGTTCAGAGGCGGGGGCCAGGCATGCCAAAAACAGGAGCAGAGGAGAGCAGACAAAGTTAGAAAATTGTTCAAGTAGCAAAAACAAGTGCTGGAACAAAACAGTCGCTGAAACTGAAAGCTAGCAGTGCGGTGGAGTTGCAGCAGTCCGACTCCCTGAAACCACTCCTGTAATCAGACAAACGCACACAGTAGCGAGATAAAACACTTCTAACTAGAAGGATGAGGAAGCTGAGGCAGTGAGTCTGACACACAATACGCTGTTTTTGATTACTTTGGGGGCAATTAATCATATTTTATTTACAATGACAATTTTAACTACCATCAATTATTGAAACCAGACAACTGCTCTAAAGTGATTACTGTCCCACATGCAGCTTTGCAATAATGGTCTAAATTTGCCTTTCCTTTTGGCCTTCCATAAAAGTCAATGTCCACATTTATTTAGTGTAATCAACTGATTAAAGTTCAAGGAAATCCACTTAGTATAAAAAGCAACATTCTTCTTTTTAAAAGTATAATAAAGCAACTATTTATGATTCTTATTTTTCAGTAATCCAGCAGAATTAGGCCAAGCTGCCACCATGTTTGTGTTTCTTGGCCTATCTTTTCCTGAAATACAGTAGTAATTAAAAAAAAACACAGCAGTAAAACAGGTTATGATTGGCGCTCACGAAGTGTAACCTGATGACCACATGTAAACAGCTGGCTGCAGGAAATATTGCTGCCTATGCACACCCTGTTACTCACTCAGCTGGCTGGGCCTGTTTGTAGGTCAGAAGGTCTTTAACTGTTGCACTGCTTTGTGTGGAAACTCCCAGGGCCAGAGAGAAAGTGCAGAGGGAGCACCCAGCGACAGTACCACTGTATCACTTAGTGTTCAACATATGTGCATTGTCATTCCATTGTCTCAATCTGCAGCATGTATGTGTTTAGCATACATGAGCACTGTGTGTATGCCTTTGTCCCCACTGAATGAGGCCTCTGTTTTCTATGAGGGTGGAAAGCACGCACACACCAGAGTGTGCTCGAATACATATATTGTACCGGCCGAGCATGTGACCGGCCTGATCGGACCCTGACACGATCTTCCTCTTCACACTCTTGTATATGCCATGTATATGCTCATCGCACCACCATTTAATTTCCTTTTTTTGAGTCAGTAAACACTTGTCAAATGTAGCTCCCACACAAAGGACTTTTTATCTCTGTAATTTGTACACACCTGAGTGTGAGCAGCTGGTGTGTGTGTATGTGTGCATATGTGTAGAGGAAGATCTAGCTGGGATGTGTGTGTGTGTGTTTGTGTGTAACAGCCAACGCTGACGAAAGAGGCAGAAAATAAACATGGGACGCATGGGGAGCATTGTAATCCCAACTTCCTGTCACAGTCAGCTCCTATTTACAGCCCAACAATGGCAAGGCACAGCCTGTGCAGACACACGTGCACGTGAGCGGGTGATTCATTTCATTTTTAGTGCTGACATTTGTGTGTGCATATGGAGAGATAGTGGAAAAGATTTTATACAGATATCATAATAATAATTTATGGAAAAAGTGGGAATAGTGGACAGGTCTTTAGCCCAACCTCAGTGTTTGAACTAAACGTGCAATACTTTATATTTAATCACAGATTACTGCCTTAACCTTTTAAGGCAATTCAACTTTTTGCATTTGCAATACGATGCATGTGGGTATTTGTACTCATCCAATACACGTGTTAATGAGTTTTTATGTAAGACAAATAAGATATCTTCTGAGTTTGGAGATGGTGGTGGTATCAATATAACCCAATCTCGAACTGGGGCTTCCGACTACATCTGGAATGCACTATTAGGCTAATTAGTGATTCTAACTTAACTGTAGGTGTGACTGATTGTCTCAGTCTATGATGCGACCTGGGCAGGGTGTGCCTGCTTCTTACCCAGTGACAGCTGGAATAGGCTCCAGCCTTGCTGCAAACCTGAATTTAAGCATTAAGGAAAATCAGTGCTTGGATAAATGATACAAAGAAAGTTCCACCCCTAACCTCTGGTCATGAGATTTTGGGAATGTCCAAAAGAATAAGCTCCTAAATACAAGAGGTCCCAACGAGATTCCTCCATAGGTTAGATATTTGGGTGCTTCTTTCTGGAGGTTTTCCAGGCAAACCAAGCTGGGAAGAGACCCAGGACCCTTTAGAGAGATTATACATCTCATCTGACCTGTGAATACCTCAGGATCCCCCCAAAAGGACCTGGAAAGGGTTGCTTTGTAAAAACATGGTTTCGAGCACGGGTTTCTGAAATTTCTCTGTCCGTTCATTGGTATTTAGTTGCTGCACTCCGGTGTGTGTTTCCATGCTTTGATCATAATGTTTTGGACCCCAGCACGTCTGTGTAATCGCAGCCATAATCCCTGGCCTAGAATCACTCGCAGTAACAAGTGAGTTGATAGAAAGCCTCCCCCTCTGTTTCCCCGAAGGCTTTGCCTAAATCCATGCTCGCACTGATTGTTCAATCTACTCTTTTGGTAGAACAGGGAATGGGATAAAGCTGTATCTCCTGGATGATACATGCTGGAGTGGGGGCACACATCCACCCCTGCGTTTGAGTATGTCTGAATGAGATGGCACAGGATACAATAGAAATGTGTGTGTGCATGCATGCATTTGTGCGTGTAAGGCAAGTGCGGTGGGCAGCTAAACACAGGCACTCAAAGAATCTCTTTCTTCTCTTTTGAAGTGAGTTCAAATGCTCTTCAAAGACTGTCTGCCTGTATGACGGCGCAGGGGGGTGGGCTTGGAGAAAGACCGGGTGACCATGTGCTCTAAACGCAGCTTCATTCAGAGCACATGGAAAGTTGTTCTATTTCCAACCCTGCATTTCAGCTTTATGTACCCTTGTAACATCAGAGACTTGAGAGGGAAAGTCAAACGATCCCCCATTTTAAATGTGTAGGAGGCAAAGATGGTAGTAAAAGTATAATTTCCAGGAAGAAAAAGACCTTTTGAATCCTTATTTAGAGACAAACTTCTCGAGGATTTGACTGTTATGCCCAGTTTATTATGAGCATAATAAAGAACGTGGACAAAACAAAAATGTTCTCTAAGTCAGGATGTATTAATAAGAAGTCCAAAAGTAATTTTAAAGAAATAAATGTGACATTTGATAGAGCTGCATCAAAACCACAGCTTGTGAGCTCAGGTGTAACAATGTTTGTGACATTTTTTATATTTAGGTCTAAGTCACATCGTAGCACAATGAATGAAGTTAGTAGCACAAACACAGTGAAGAATAAAACCTTAGATTTCACATTTCAGCATCTTAAATGACTCAAAAAACTCATGACTGTGAAGTCCTCCTCCCTCTGGTGGTGTAATCACTTCTGCAGATGATGAATCTTGGATCGCAGCTCCTCCTGCGGCCTCGGCCACGTTTAACAGACCTGCAACAGTTAACAGCCCAGAACTCGTGCACTTAATTTCTAACTTTAACATCCACTCAATGGTTACGTTTAGGTACCAAAACTTAGTTGGTTAAAGTTAGAGTTATTTGGTTGGTTATACAGCCAATCTATGACATTTTTAGGCAAATTGGAGACGGTCGAGCAGAAGACCCATGATTATTTATGATGAAATGACCCAACTAGACTAAAGGCGTTCTCATCTGAAAGGCACTGTCAGTCATAAAAGCTGATGGTGAGTCCCAGGTATTTAAACTCTAATGAGGTTGTCACTTTGTAGGTGGTCCTGAGCGTCATTGACCCACCCTGCCATCATGTGAGTCATTAAGGTCACATGATTGTGACCTCAGTGACTGTGAGCCAGGGTTGAATTGCCTGGGAAGAGATTTTGAGACTGATCGTTGGTGTCCCATGCCACCACCTCTGTTCAGTAACAGTTTTGCCTAGATGTTTCTTACATACTTAGGTGAACATACAGCAGATAGCCTTCTTTGATAAACTGTCAAAAATATGCTTCAATAAGCCGAGGCTGCTGGGGGCTTCCCATGCTGATGAATGTTCTTCTTAACTCATCTCTTTTCACTGTGTTGATACACCACTCTGCATTTAATCATTAGTTATTATTAATCTCTGGCTCTTTTCCACATTGTGTCTTTTGTGCTGTCTTCCTCCCCTCACCCCATACTGAACATAGTTTGTCTGACATTAGGAGGGGGAACCAAACACTTCACTTATTGTCATACTTATACGACCCTGGTCCTTTCCTTTTGTTTCTATTTGTTGCCATCCTCTCATAGATATCAGCATGATCCACCAGCCCTTCCCCAAAACAGCAGTGGCCTCCCTCACCTATCGTTCATCTGTCGTCTTCACTATCAATAAACGTTTGTCATTCACATTCGAGGTTTTATGTCCTTGCTGCTGAGTGTATTTTAGATGCATGCGACTTTGTTTGTTTTCTCTGTATTTATATTGGACCCTATGTGGGCCGCAGCACATCGCATTGACTTTTTCTATCATCAGCTAATTCAATCACAAGCCTGTTGTGGTTTTAATTCTGCTTCACTTCCTGCCCGCCTGTCTCTGTCCGTCCGTCCCCCTCGTTCCCCCTCCTTCCCGGCCCTTGTGAGTGTCTCCCCTAGAGCAGAAATTACATGCTGCTTTGTGCCTGGCGTAAACAATGTTTTCAACAGTGCTGGCTTGTCTTGTCTGTTTTCTCCCTCTCCCTCTCCCTCTCTCTCTCTCTCCTCTCTCCCACTGCCTCAGGGGATGAGTGGAGAGGGCAGGATAAAGAGGGGGGAGGCGGATTGATGAGAGAAAGAGGGAGACAGGGGGTATCGGTAGGATAAAGGGAGAAGGAGGAGGGGAGAACAAGTGAAAAAGAGCAATAGTCTGTTCCCAGAGTAAAAAACGGTCCAACAAGTCTGAGTAATAAGCATAATAAGAGGGGGTGAAGGGCAACAGACACCGGCACACAGCGCCGTCTCGATAACTACCATTCAGTGTAATGATAGTCACTGGGCTCTGATTAACTCAACATTACCTACATACCCTGAAGCCCCTATCTTTGCCAGCACTCATCACTTATCATGTGCCATGGTGGAGGAAGAGAAAGCGGCTAGTCTAGCACTATAAAAGCAGGTAGGCATGCAGACAGGAGAAAAGGGCAGTGTGGTTAAACCCTGTGTTTAATCACCAGGGATAGTGGTGAGAAGGACAGGTGGTAGTTTTGGTGATCTGGCTTGTTTTCTTCGCTCCTCCCACCCTGACGGATCAACACATCAAGGTTTTTTTTTTTCCTTTCTCCTCCTCTTTCTTTCGCTCGGTTTCCCTCGGTGTGTGAGGGTTGTCAGCCAGGGATCTAGAGGTTACATAAAGTGAGTGTGGATCCGAGGAAGAAAGCAGAGAGATGTTACATAAAGAGCTGTAGCTGGACAAAGGTTAATAAAAATCGAGCCTTGTACTGTAGGCAGGAGCCATGGGAGAGAGAAAAAGCATGAAAAAAAACTGAGAGAATGGCCATTACATAAACAGATAAAGATGGGCTGAATTATTGGTGGCTTTGCTTTGCTGTTATATAAAGAGACAGGTCCACCAGCAAAAATGAAAGATGAGAATGAGTTGTGTATGTGTGTGTGTGAGTGAGAGAGAGAGACCACTCATCTGACCGCATCTGAACTTAAAAGATGCTTTTTTCATAATACCTGACCTTTTTTTTTGATTGCTAGCAAAGACGGTTGAAGCAGCAGGATTATCTCAGCGGCAGAAACTGAAACGTAGCTGGACAGATGTTGACATTGTTTCCGAGTACAATAAAAGTCCAGACACACCAGCTCTCACCAAGCATTTTGGTGAAAGCTGTTTCTTCTATTTAGACGTGATAACAACTCGCAAAAAGTAACTTTATTCACTAGGGGTGGGGAGAAAATCCATCCATCTGGAGTTCTGTTTTTTAGAGCGTAAGGTCAGGAGTTCAAGTTGCCCTCAGAGTAAACATGCTTCTTCTTGGTGCTCTTACTTTTCTCTTGACTAAGAACGTTTTGTTTGCTTCCTTTTTGTTCTAGTCTTTTTTCTTGTCTTTTCTTCAAATTTGTCATAAGAGGCAATAGATACTCCATTTTTAAAAACTTTACATTTTTGGCAATTATGTCATGGTTCGGGCTTTAAAGGGTTAAACACAAATGCTGCCCTGCATGCACACCTGTTAAATGCAGATTCAGAACAGCCCAGCGCTGCTTACGCTGGCTGCTGATCTTTTAATTATTTTCTTATCCTGACGCACAACTTCACAGTGCTGTTCCTCAGCTCAGTGTATCCTCATCCTTTTTTCTTCCCATCCCATCCTCCTCCTCCTCCTTTCTGTGTCTGCTTTGTGCAAATGTCATGCAACACTCTCTAATATCTGTCATGATGGGGGGGGGCATGAAAGACTCGCTTATTAAAGTGTGTGCTTGACTGTGCAAGCTCATCTGACATGGCCTTAAAGATCAGAAGCACAAAATAGTGTTTTAAACACGAGGAGCTTATTTTGGAATGAAATGTTTTGTATGCTGTGTTTGATTTTAGTTTTCTCCTTCTGTTTTACAGATATTACTACAACAAGAGGATCCTTCATAAGACCAAAGGGAAAAGGTTCACCTACAAGTTTAACTTCAACAAACTGGTTTTGGTCAACTACCCGTTCATTGATATGAGCTCCACTGGTAAGCCTCGTCTGTGTGTGCGTGTGTAAATATCTCCTAATCCCACAATAGGATGGCATGACTACATGGGATTATACAAGAGAGCACTGCAATTCATTTCTCTGTACTCTGCCCGTCTTTTTTACTCTTTTTCTTATCTTCTCTCTCTTGCCTTTTACATCTACAGGAAGTAGCGTTCCTCAGAGTGCCCCTCCTGTGCCCACCGGTGCAGGGACCCACTTCCGCTTCCCTCCTTCCACCCCATCTGAAGTCCTCTCCCCTAACGAGGACCTGCGCAGCCCCGGTGGCATGTTCAGCTCCGTGGCCCGACGAATGGCCCGTGGCTCTGTCAGCGACTGCAGCGACGGCACTTCAGCCAATTCTGAGATCGAGGAGGGTAACACGGGAGCAGGAGAGGAGAGGGGGGAGAGAGTTGTGAGTGGAGGAGGGCCAGGTGGTGGTGGAGGAGGCTACCGGAGCATCATCCACCCCCGTTTGGCTTCTCATGAAGCCCTGTTCCGCATGTACGGAGGGCCGGGTAACCCTGCAGGGCATCCAGGCTCCCGTGGCCCGGCAGCACACCGCATCCACCCAGAGCCCCTGTCCCCCTTCCCTGCTTCCCCCCTGCCAGGCCCAGGAGGAGCAAGCCTTCTAGCTCCACCTTTGTCTCCTGCACTCTCCATGACCCCCACATCTCACCTCCCCTACACTCCCTCGCCCACCCTATCACCCATGTTAGGCTCTCACTTCTCCTTTAACCCAGAGGACATGAAGCGCTACCTGCAGGCCCACACCCAGTCAGTGTACAACTATGGCCTCAGCCCCAGAGCTTTCCTCCAGTACCCCAACATCGTCATCCCCCAGCCCCACCGGCCCGACAAGGCCGGTCTGACTGCAGAGAGAGGAGCGGCCGAGAGGGCGGAGAGAGCCTCGACTGTGGGGGGAGGCGAGAGGGGAGGAGACCGGCACCACCATCCACCTCTGGGTCACCCGACCCACCACCACCCGCATCCTCACTCTGCTCACCCTCACCCACATTCCCACCCCATGCATCATTCACTTCACCTTGGTGAGGAGCCGCCGCACATGTCCCCCTTCAAGTTCAAGCTGCAGCCGCCTCCACTGGGCAGGAAGCAGAGGGAGGGGCAGAGCCAGAGTAAAGCCAGGCAGAGCTCACTGTCCTCGGGTTCAGGATCCGGGTCCATGTCCTCCACCTCTGGCCTGGGCTCCTCGCTGTCATTCGGCAGTGACTTGAGCTCTGCCAGTGGCTCCGGGCTCATCTCCACCTCCTCGTCAACACAATCTCTAAACAGCGCGGGACTTCCCAAGATAAAGGTACCCAGACCCAAACATCGCTCACATTCCCACAATTCCCAGTGATTTAGACTTTGTTTGTGGCTACGTGTGTTTCAGAGAGAGCATGGGCTGGTATTTTGTTTCTGATTGAGATAACTTTATTAAACCCAAACACAAGCATTTCGTTTGCAGCTTACCCACACGACTCACAGTCCTTACACACTAATCACAGTTGCTTTTTAAGGAACAGAATGATAAATAATGAGGTTAAAGGAAAGAAAAATAAACAGATTACAAGGATGTGTCAAAAAATGAACAGTCATCGAAAAATGAATATAAATGACCCCGTCAGAGTTAAAGTCATCTAATAGCCTGAGGGAATTCAGGATTTTAAGTACCTGAGAGAAACTTCCTGAACTCAAACTCCTCTGTCTTGTATCTGGCGATGGTAGTCCTTGTTATGCTTTGCTTGGTGAGCTCAGCATACCTATTTCTGCAGCTTCTGGTAAGAGTGTCCCTCGAGTACACAGATCACCAGAGCAGGATTGCTGCTGCTGGCTTTACAGTTCAGGGCGAAGTCTCAGTCAGTCTGCATGACTGTAGTTGTGTCAGTCTGGCCAGTTGCAGCTCACAAACTAAACGTGCATGTAATCAAGCTCTATGAAGGATATAAAAAACAATAAATATTAAAGTGAGTCACTCTATATACTCTGACAGCTCTCCCAACTAAAGTCAGGTTGGGATTTAAGCATTAGTAAATTTATGTATTTATTTGTGATTTATATATTTAATTACCAACAGCAATCCTTTTTTAAGTTACATTTTTGATCAACTTCCTTGTCCCTCTGTTTGAAGGTTGAGCCCATCTCTGACATAGACTCCGAGGAAGAGGTGGAGGTGACTGACATTAGCGATGAAGACCCAGATGAAAGAGATGAAGAGTTTGAGCTCTTCGCCCCTCGCCACCCGAGAGCATCCGACCACCACCACCTTCCTAATGGCTCAGCCCGGGCCCAGCAACAACCCCACACCGACGAGGACTTAGAAGAAGATGTGTTCAAAGCCCCCGCTCCTCCTCCACCCGGCCTGATGCCTTTCTTCACCTCGCAGTACACGCACTCCGGCGTACATCGCATGCTGCCCGTCATCAAGAGCGAACCCGCCGAGCCCGGGGAGAGCAGCACACCCCCATCTCAGCCACCCGCGGCGGGGGCTCCCCAGACGAAGTGCATTCCTCTCAAGCTGCGCTTCAAGAGGCGCTGGAGCGAGGACCAGCGCATGGAGGCCTCGCAGGAGGAGTCAGATGATAAAAAAGTACGACCGGAGGAAGAGAGGGAGCGAGAGAGGCAAAGTAACGGACAGATGGAGATGGAAGAGGATGGGACGGGCAGCGGAGGCGGGGACAGTCCTCCTATGCTGGCGTATGAAGGCTCTTTAGCAGCACCCCTGGCCTTGCACAGGAGGGTGACTGCCGAGCTGCACCGCGCCACTGCACAGCTGTCTCTGGAGAATAAAGACTGCTGATGAGAGCCTCAGTCCAAACACTACTGCTCCAGCAGGGCAGGAGGTGGTGCAGGAGTATGTAAATGGTTCCTCTGTAATTCCCTCTCCTCACACTGACAAACTAGAATCCAGAAACCTCCACTGACCCGAGAGCACACGTCAACATACACATGAAAGTAACGCCCCAAAGACAGCCCGACACCTTCTCATCTCAGGGTGCCAAATATGGCCATTTTGTCAGCCGCTGGTGTCACAGACGTATGCGCGTGAGGTCTCTTTTGGTGTCCGTGATGCAACGTTTATGTTTATTCTTAGTCATTGTATAACACCAAGACAGTGTAAACCAGGGGTAGGGGAACGCCAGGCCTCAAGGGTCGGTGTCCTGCAGGTTTTAGATGTGTCCTTGATCCAACACAGCTGATTTAAATGGCTAAATTACCTCCTCAACATGTCTTGAAGTTCTCCAGCGGCCTGGTAATGAACTAATCATTTGACTCAGGTGTGTTGACCCAGGGTGATATCTAAAACCTGTAGGACACTGACCCAAGAGGCCTGGAGTTCTCTACCCCTGGTGTAAACAGTGCATACAGAGTTCCTGGTAGTGACTGAACGGGTTTAGACAGCCTGCGTCTCAGAAAAAGATGCACTGCCCTCCAAAAACAAGAAAAATAAAAACCAAATCATTCACATTTGCAACCCTCAAAAATATCTTTGAACACCATTTGTTTGAAAACTAAAAGCAGAAAACAAATTTTTTTATTCGTGTCAGCATTATTCCAACAACAGCAACGCATCTTTACTGCTGCAGTGAGAATAGAAATACCGCTTAAATCGTGTTTGCTCTCTTGCTTTGAAAATCACCTTTGTACACAGTCTTGAAATGACTTTGAGTTTGGGTTTTTTTGGTTTTTTCTGCCGGCGAAAGCGAGCCTGGTGGTGGGGGAAAGTACAAGATACTCTGCGTGCTGACCCGTTTGGTTGCTCTGTGTTTCATTTTTACTCGCGGTTAAGGTTTAGGCACCAAGAGTACTTGCAGAAAAGGGTTAGGCACCAATACCAAACGACACTTCACGCATATCTCTGCAATGCAAGCAGCTTTAATTGTGGGGAGACAGAGAAAAAAAGGCCACTATTTGACGCCCTGGACTGCCCAACTCTTGCCTCTTTTTGTGTCAGACCTAAAGCCAGACCATTTATCTGGATCAGGGCTCTTCTGGGACGCAGCCGTGTGCAGGAGGGACTCACTCAGACGCCACACCAGGCACAGCGATGGTATGACTGACCTGGAATCATCAAGTTCACCTCCTAACAGATGCCCTGCCCCTGTAGCACAACCCCCCCCTCCCCATCAGTAGGATCAGCAGCCAGTCAGCACCTTCCTCAGGGGACACACACATATGCACACACGCACACTCCCCAATGACGATCCAGGATGATGATGATGATGATGTGCACACCCACGCCACTTTTTCCTACAAACTGACGGGACTTTAAGTGCCTGTATCTAAAACCATGGGGGGGAAGAGTGTGAGGGGAGGAGGGAGGGCTACTCAGAGTGATCACTCTGTGAACATGTTTGTTGGATCAAAAGGAAAAAGTCTCTAAAACTGATACAGGTGGGAGGGGGTGGGGGCGGTGGGGTGCTGGGTGTTGTCTGACTGACTCTTAAAACTGGCCCACTCCACTCAGGGAAGCCTATTGCTGTACGTTTATTGGATTCACGCACACAAACACACACACACAAAAAAAAGCAACAAAAAAAAAGAAAGGCCAACAGTGAATGGGACTCAGTGACTACGGACACCAAAATCTGTTCACTGCCACACACACACAAACTTTTTTTGACTCTTCTCTGAGAGCTTCTGACTTTCACATAACCTTCTGTCTCTCTGCTGTCCTGCCCTTCTTTCTCTTGTGGACCACCTGTGGAAATATCACAACTCTGCTCACAGACACAAGTTCAGCCCAGGGAGATGTGAGGAGGGGAAAATGATGAAGAAGACTGCAGAAGAGGAGGAGGAGGAGGAAGGGTTTTTGCAGGGGTTCCAGCAAGCTGTTAACCAGCCTTCTTACCTCACCTAACATGGCTTGTACACTGAAAATTATTTCCCTCAGCAGCACAGAAACTTAGTTCACCAGCTAGAGCTCGTCTAACAATCATAGATAGTGTTAAACTAAACCAGCAAACACACACACACATTCGCACAGCACTGCCTTCAGCATGCTCCCTCTCCCTCGGACCAAACCTCCGGCTCTCTGTAGCGCATCACCCTCTTGGGTCCTGATGGCGTGTGAGGCTGGCGGGCCTGTTAGCTACGAGTGTGAGAGCTCGAGAGAGCAGGGAGCATCTCTCACACACACACACACCTGCTCACACACACACACACACACTCTGCCTCTCTATGCCTTGTTTTTATAGCATGTACAAAAGTGCAAACTGAACTCTAACAAACATACATACAGATTATATCTTTATATATTCTAAAGGAAATTATTAAACAAAAGTAAACTTTTAAAAAGCGTTTTGATGACGTGATTGATTCAGGATTTTTTTTTTCTGTGACATGGTATCATGGAGGGCAGACTGAGGATGCAGAGGGGGCGTGGGTCAGGGTTTTTTTTGTTTGTTTGTTTTTCTTGTACATTTGTTTCATAGATAAACGAGCCAGAGGAAAAACGGCGCAGGCCAGTCTATCACAAGAACACGAACGGCGAGAAAAAAGAAAAAAACCCATCAGGACTCGAGCAGACTGCTAATGAGTCAGATGTGTGGTTCACTCTGCTGTTCACTTTGTTTCTCGTAGCTTGCCCTTTCAGCTCGCAGCGTTCTGCTCTTTCCTGTCTGCAGTCCAGCTCGCCTCAGCAGGGTTCTCCCTGGTTTCAGCTCCCAGCCCCCCTCTGGCCCTGGGCCACCTCTGCAGGCCGCCTGGGAGTGTGTGAGGGTGTGTGAGCGGGTTATTCGTGGAGTAGTAATCCCGTCTCTTCTCTTAGATCAGTTAGGGCAATGCTCCAAAGTTCACAGCAGCTCGGGGATGGGGTTAATCAGTTGGACACCCTCTCCTCAAACTATGCATATTCTCACAGACACACACACATGAAACACATATATTTGTGACATGTTTCAGCATCCAGCCAGGCGTCCGATCGGGGGGTGGGGGTCTGTCTCCTGCCTGGCCAGCAACAAGACGGATCTATAGCGGCGAGCTGTGAGATAGATGGCCTGCAGGCGGTCTGTGTAGCCGGGCTGATCGAATTTCCTCCTCAGACCCCCGTGGTCTGGACGGGAGCATGTCACAGCCCGCACACACACTCACACACACACCCGCCAGGCCCTGTGTCTGTATCTGAACTGACAGCTGCCTTACTTCTACTACTTCTCATATCTCAGCAACAGAAAGACATCCGTCTCTCTTTCTTCTCTGCTCTCTCTCTCTTTCATTCGCGCTTCTCGCTGTTCATTTTTTTCCTCGCTCTGCTTCAGGCGCCGTCAGACTTCCTGCTAACGGCAGCGCGATCTGACTGTCGCGATATATAGCGGGGGCAAAGCGATTGATCGGAGTCTGGGTGAGACGCAGACTCTCCCTCATCCTGTTTCAGGTCTGCAGACAAACAGCACAAAGATTGCATTTCTCTATTTAGAAGAAGGAGAAAAGGTTTCTCGGTTTATTTTTCTGATGTTGTGATTGTTCTCATTGGGTTATTTACCTCTCCAGCTGGCATTATGATGATGATGATTAATATTATTATTGTTATTATTCCATGGCTCTGTTAGCTGTTGCTTTTTATGTTGTGTACATCACTTTGGATGATGTTGATCAACCCCAAACTCCATTCCCTGTTTTCAAACCTTCTAGCCTCCAACACCCCCCCCCCCTTTTTTTTTTTTGTTTTTTTTTTTTTTTTACATAAGTAATGTCTCTTTCTGTCACTTCCTTTAGTCTG